TCTTCATGGCTTTTAGCAATATGATCTTGCCCCCGGTTAGACACATAACTATATTCCTCGGTTTTTTTGGGATAAGTATGAAAGAAAAGGCTCACTTTTTCTTTTTAGGTTCAACTCGGTTGACAAAAGGATGACACCTTTGGGTAAAGTGTTTGGCAATTAGGCTCATGAAAGATGGCTTTGATCCTTGAGCTTTTCACTTTAGACCTCAAAATGATGACAATCATTCAACTTAAGTTAGCAAGATTTCCTTATTCTCTCCTTTTTTTTCTTTTAGATCTTTGCTCACCATTTTCTTCTTATATGAGTCTATCACATTTGACTGCAACTTTGGCCTCTATTTTGCAACACATCAATTAGTTCAAGGGAAGAATCTAGATCACCAACATCTTCCTCGACATGGATTTGGATCATTTGAAACATATACTAATCCTGAAATGGCATCATTGTATTCAGATTCATCATTAGCAAAGCCTGAAAGCAAAGAGAAACATGGATAAGCAACAGCAGGTGAGGAAAGCATATATATGCAAGTAAAATTTTTTGTTTTGGTTTTTTTTTTGTTTTTTTGTTTTTTTGTTTTTGAGCATATTAATGGCATCAAGAAGAGTTGCATCAAGTTTAAAAGATGACAATATGGCAACATATGTTACTGAATTGTAAAGACTGGGAAAACCAATTAGCATGATAGCAAATATTTCAAAGAATATAAAAGAGCTTGTTATTCCCTCCTTTCATATAGCCACAAGCTGAGCTATTAGAAAGCTGACTCGTCCCACTCATGGATGAATGAAGCAGAGAAAAGCTTGACTGTCCAATTGGCCAAAGTACCCCCAAGGCAGAAGTAATGGTCATGTCAAATAGGGGTTCATCCTTAAGAGCAATAATACTCAAATTTCCCTATGACCTAGATTTGCCCCCTCATTTATTGAATCTAAATCCACATGTCTCCACTTCAACATCATATCTTGGTGAGCTTATAACAACATGTTGAAGGTTGCCTTTTAGATGGATGATGCATTGCTCCAAAGAGTAAGAAAACATAGGGAGACTATCATGCCTAAATTTTTTGTTTTTTTGGTGTTTATGAAGCTTACCTACAAACAAGAAGTAAAAGAAAAATAAACAAAGTCAGAATAATGTTAGAAGTCATCCCATAATTTTGCATGATTTAATGCTTCAACAATTGCTATATGGATTCACACATTGTCGATTTCCAATCCTTAAGGAGCCTCGCATGAAGCAAAATATCTTTGAACGCCTTGAGATTTCCATAAACTCCAAGGGCTATAGAAAAGACACTTACAAGCAGTTCAACATGCATTACAAAGATGGTCATTCATTACAAAGTAAAAGCCTAGTACATCACACTAAGTACATCAATATGGTAGCATTCAAGTCCCTAGTAAATCTGACTCCAAGATCTTTCAAAGTACAACTGTCTAATGAGAAGTTCCATTCTTTTCCTTGATTGTTGGAGCAACATGAAGTGTGATGTGCTTGAGCTTCTAATCCTCCAAGCTGCTCTTTGTTCTTATTCTTCTAGGCTTGCCCCCTAGACTTGGCAATTGTGAATGATAGGAGAGAAATGCTTGCAATTGGAGATCTCTTCAATCCTCTATTGGTCAAAACTTTCTCCACGGATGAATATTTCAAAAGGTGTCTTGACTGACAAAGAATCGCACTTGACCATGTATGAACCCATATTTCAATTGTTGAAGGTAAAGAATCAAACAAGATTATGGGAATGCAAGACAAGAAATAAATATGGATGCTAAACAATAGATGAAGGAATATAAATATGCCCTAAAGTGATCATGTGTGTGAAGTTGTATCCTAAAGCATGCATTTTTGGGAATGCACGAAAAGAAATAACCATGGATGGGAAATGAATGATAAGGGATGCAAAAATATAAATATGCTGACAAGTGGTAAGGTGTGTGAAATCGTATCCTAAAACATGATTTTTTGATGATTCACCATTGCAAACACTGAATTGGCATTCATGGGAAATATCATTCCTTTAAAAAGAATGCAAATGCCATGAAGCTTGAAGAAAAAATGAATGGTGTAATGCTTGGAGAAAATGGATGATGTGATGCTCCAAAATCATGTGCTCAAATTATTTTAATGCCTAAAAGATGGATCTTTCATGAATTTATCTTCGAAGAACCTCTTTTCCTTCCTTTTTTTTTTTTTTTTTAAATGTGAAATGCAATGCAAAATGCGTGTGAATGAAATCCCCATTTTCATTTTTATGCACTTGTTTTTTAACTATGAGATGGAAGTAGTAGTGATTGGAATGAAATATGTGATGAAAAGTGAGATGTGAAATGAACATGGGAGAAATTTTCATTTTCATGCTTTTTCGTTTTTTTTTTTTTTTTTGTTTTTTTTTTAGCTAAATGTGAAAAGGATGAGATGAGAGGAAAACTAGCACTATGAATAAAATTTTCATTTTTTTTTCATTTTTCACCATTTTTGAA